GGATATGACACTGACGTATCTGCCGACGTATCTCCCGGGCTGATAATGGTCGTCGTGGAATCGTTAAAAGCGCGCGACGTAATTACCTGTTTAATACGCGCTACGTCGTCGCGAAGACATTAGCCGCGACGTTAATGTCGCTGGGAAATATCCGCTGCGTCACAGCGTCTCGATTAAACCGACCCGTGCCCATAGTATCATAATCATGTAGTTTCAGGCAGCCACGACTCGCGTGGCTGGTGTCACGTAGATGGAGATGATCTAGCCACCGGCTGACGGGGGGGGGGGTCTCGTCAACCCCCGCCAACTTATATTACCGCACACCAATACGCAGACCAACGCAGAGCCGCGAACGACACCCACGCCTTTATCTGCTCCAGCTGGCGTGCACGGCGTGTGCAGGTGAGTATTGATCGTCGCGGAAGTGCAGCAGGGAACGAGCGGCAGGCGAAGAAACGGCCGAATGTAAACGTGCCGAGGCGATATACGCCGGGGATAAATGCGTGGACGGGCCGTTCGGAGGGCGGCAGTTGGGGGAGGGGAAGAAAAAGCGAGGATTATTTGCGGAAAATCTGGGTCAGCCTCTGCCCGATGACGGCCGGACCGGAGCGGAGAGCAACAGGCGACCTGTAGATTTCGTGAGAGACTATCGAGGCATATTGGTTTCGCAAACAGATCGTCCGGCGGGTTCATCGTCTGGAACGCGTAGGGTCTTAGGTACTTACAAGTACTTATGTGTATTTGCTAAATATATCTCTTGTTCGTGCGATTATTCGCGGTAAAAAACTAACAGGAGAACGAGCTTCAGCACCAACGAGCCTCTGTCTCACATATCATATTTCAAATTTAATAATTTAATTTTTCTTTACTTGACAGCAAAAATGACAGCAAAAATAAGATTTGCAAACGCTGATCTGATTAATGATTTGATTATTGGTTTGATTACCGTCATTGTTTATTTTTTTTTGATTATTATTTTATTTTATTTTTTTGTTATTTGTTGTTTTTTTGTTGTTCGACTAGTATTACATTTGATATATGACATTTGTTTACGCATGGATACATTGATTTAAAAAAAATGGCTGTGAATTTATAACAACAGTTAAGACTCTTACGTCGATCAATGCGCGGCGTTGTGCAAAAAATGCTAGATAATTCGCTCAACATTTTGTCCCGGAGGTACAAAGCTGCGCGCGAATTAAAACCGATGTAATTCCGGTTTGAGTTCAATTTCCGTCGCGCAGATACGGGGAAAAAAATGTATCTTGCGCCAATCGCCGTATTTTTGCGTTCGCACGAGCAAATATATAGAGATCGTTTTCCTGTATCCGTAATATATCGAAAATCTGAATTCATTGAATATTTATTGGTTCCAATCTCCGTGGACGGCACGTTATACATTGTGATTCTATATATAACAGGTGTGCATATAGACGAATAGTACCTACGACACGCGCTCGTAAAGTTTAACCCATATAGCTTCGATCCATGAAAATTTAATATATACGAGGCGTATGCCTATAATATAAAAACGTATCATAAAGTGATTAGTTCACAGTAGTTAGAGTTAATTTATTGCAGTGATTTTCTTATTGCAAATACCTTTTTTCGTATTGTTATGAAATTATATTATTGTTTTATTCTCAACGTAAACTTATTATTTGCGAAAAAAAAACTCGAGGTTCGAGTGTGATATATATAAAAATACAATGAAGGCGAACTTTTTATTTAACAAAACGGCTGAATCGTTTGTCGGTCATTCGCTCGTGTCTACGTACATACACACACACACACACACAC